TTATGTTCAAGAGTTTTCCAGGTAAGGAAATGTACATTCTAATATACAGATCATGGCCCAGAGTGATTTGATTAGCTGGCAATAACATTTCATAGCACCTCTTAAAGTGACTGACAATAATATATGCATATATACAGAAATTACAGATGGTTTCTGATTACTCTTCTGATTACTCCAAAATGGTATTTCATGAATTCAGAAGTTGTCTCTCTCTATATATATTCTAACATACATTTTCACAAATTATATACTTATTTGGATAGTTCCTATCAACATTCAAGCTGTCTAAATCCTTTCTTCCTAATAAAAACATCACAAAGGCTGTTTGGTACACTCACTCATGCAAAACTGGACGTACAACCATGTCCCCTTGAGTATGAGCTTTGTAAAAGAGGGTGTAGAGGTAGGGCAGCAAAGTGTAGCAAATGTTCAAGTAATGTTTGGAGGTTTTCACCAAAACTGAATCAGCTCCAAACACAGCCGGATCCTGAGACTGAAAATAAATATTAGATTATATGCATTGTGTGGGAAATACTCTGTCAATCACGGAAAGTAGCTGTTGTTTGTGAGGAGCTGAAATTCAGTGGTGTGCATCTGCACAGTATCTGCCTTTTGGGTGGTGGGACTTGAGGTCTCCCTTAGCACAGTCTCCCTTAACACTGCCAGTCCCTCGTTGTCCGTCTGTGAGGAGGGCACATCAGGTTCAGCCCAGGTTTCATTGGGCACGCACACCAGTGCACAAAGGGTGCTGCCGAGAATCAGGCTGATGGGTCACAGAGCAGCGAGTGCTTCCCCTCACTGGAAGGGGCAAGTAAAGATGATGAAACTGCTGCCGAAAAAGTGAAGCCTCAAGTACATAAAACTAACATTCTGAAGCAGAACCTCTTGAAGGCAGGATTTCATAAAGAGAGCTCAAGGTTCTGCCGGTTTCAAAAAAAGAGAGCTCAAGGTTCTGCCGGTTTCAAAATGCCACTTCAAATTTACAAATACAAATTTAAATCTTGAAGAATGATCTGGCCATTTCCTTTATAAATGGATGTTTCTATTTCATTAGAAAATAAAAAGTAAAACACAAAGTTTGGATCAGAAAATCTGCTCTTTTTCTTGGGCCCCATGGATCTTCCCCTCTAAACTCCATAGGTGCATTTATCCTTCCTGGAACACTATGAGAGCCCAAAGGCAGAAACAGCAAAAAATACTAAGGAGAATGGTGTGAAGAGGACTGCAGTTCCCTCTTGGTAATATTTATTTCTCATCACTCTGGTGACATCCTGGGTACAGCAAACAAAACAAAAAGCCCGTCATGGTACAAGAAGTGGACATTATTAGAAGTGGCTCCAAAATCAGCTGGTACAGTTTTTTTACACATTCAGGAAAAACGCATACACCCATGCCCTCTACACCTTGAGGTATTAACACCATCATTCATTAACCAGGAGACTCATGTATCTTGCAGCTCATCTGAGGTTCTTTAATATCATTGTCACTGCAAGGCTCGATGCCATAATGTTTTGCATTGATCTGTCCCATTAATATAAGTTGTTTTTCACCTCGTTCTTAAGATTTGTTTACGCTCTCCACATGACAAATCTCCCAGCTCAAGCGTAAGATCTCGTGGCCACTTTATTTCCATTCTAAGACGTGCTGTGCTCTCTTACAATCTACTCTCCTTGAAACACCTTTGCAGAATCCTGAGCCCAAACTCTGTTACTGGTGTAGCAAATCATTTTACCATTGAATTCCTTGACTCAAGCTCTTGCCATTAATGTAATCAATCTGGGAGGAAAATATCTTGGTGAGTCCATCTGGGCCAGCAAAAACTACAACAGCCAATACTCTCCTCTTTGAAGGCTGCTGGGGAACAAAGCCTTTGGTCCAGCCTCCAGCTAAACGATCTTGGCACTTAAGTGACCCTTTGCCGCACATGAGGGCCTGAACAGAGTTGTGATGTGGGGAGAACTGTGCACTTCTGTGTCCCACATGACCAGCAGTACACAGTGCCTCTTGAAAGAGAAAACTGCAGGTAAGACATGGAGAGAGAATGGAAAGGCAGGAGCAAGGGAACCAGGAAAACCAAGCCAAGACAAGAACTTGATCCCCATCAAGAAAAAAAAACTAAATACCTTAGAGATCATAATATAGGTAAAGTGAAAATGATTCTGAAAATGAACATGATGAGAATTGAAATAAAATAGTTATAACAACACCTTTTATGATGATGAAATCTACTGCTCTAAGTCTGCCCTTTTGTATATAAAAAGTAAACCTCAGGTGAAAAGTGTTAGTTGAATTTTCCTTTTTTCAATATTATCTGTGTTACTTGGATAATTTTCTTCCTCCAGTTTGAAAAGCCTTACATAACAGCAAGTAGTAAGGAAAAGCTTTGAACCATTTTAGTTTGCTTCCCTAATGGAAAAATAGCCAACCAAGCAGCCAAAGTATTTCTGCTTAAAACAACATAAAGAAAAGGTAATTTCTGTTTCTGTAACATCTTCCCTTCAAAGTCTAAATTAAACATTTTATGTTCTCAGACAAAACTGTAAATCTAGAAAACACTGTCTGAGCATCCAACTACTCATACTTCCTCGCTAGGCAGCCAAGAGGAAAGCAAAGGCTCCCTGGAAGAATGATGCTTTGGGCATGTAAAGAACAGGGACTCTGCTCATTCTAGTCATAGTTCGTAGGATTGCTGCCCTGGGTCAATGTTTATCATGACTTGCCCTTTTGGCAGCAGTGCTTGCAGTGATAACCTGCTAGCTGAAACCCTGTCTGCCCCACGTGGCACCCAGCGTGCTGCTACACGTCCTGGGCTGATAGAGAAGGCATCTGCTTCATGTGGAGCCCTGCCCTGCCTCCTTTCACACACTTGTGCTGGCACTGCTTCACACTGCTCTCTGTTAACAGTCTGAGGGTGGGAGTTAGATGATCTTTAAGGTCCCTTCCAACCCAAGCCATTCTATGATTCTATGAACAGCTCCGTACTTCAGACCATTTATACAAAATGAATGCTTTTTAAGGAGAAATGCATCAAAACAGCATCAATGTATGTAATTAAGCTTCTCTAAGATTGCCCATGGGTACCAGCACACTGCCTTTTCTGAATGATACTTCTGTGCTAGCACAAAAGGACACACAAAAAAATGTATACAAAGATAAACTCACTAATACCACTTACATGAAAGAGAGGACACAACAGAATGTCTACCAGTATATTTATGTGTAGTATTACCATAAATTCTGGTCTTCATGGTTAAAGACACCTAAAAAAATTATGTAAAGTACTTTGCTACACGTGGAGTTTGTAACCACACCTCATCTTTTCATAATTCAAAATCAGTGTCTCTACAGAATACAAAACTAGCTATGAAACACATTAACAACTGGGTTTCATTTATTTTTTTATTACCATTATTATTATTTATTTTGTTTACTCTCTAATCTCTTGGAGCTAGATAACTTTTATGATGGGCACTTATGTGACTCATATAATAAGGAGCCAAGGTTGCTACTCTGCCTGCAGAAGGAAGGAGTGCCTGCAACATCCTTGGATGAAGAGGAAAGCTATGGGTGATTCTTGAGCCAATACGGTTTGACAATTTTTTTCAGTGACCAACAAGCAAAAAGTACCCTAAGCAAGCCACCTTAAATTACCAAACTGTTGGTAACAGCTCTGTGAGAACTAGGTAAATTGTTATCTTTACAGTTAATATTGCTTCTTTATCAATACTGACTTAATAATGATGTTCACTCCTATTAATTTTACAGATTTAGCAATACATTGAGCACAGTTTTCTGTAGCTTTGCTCCTGAGGAAGGAATAGATTGACTACTGCTATAACCTTGTTGTGGAGACACTTGCTGCCATCAGATAAGTTACTCTTGAACATTTGAACCAAGATCGATTTAGAAAGTATAATACATTACAGCATCCTTTGTTTGAGCTGTAGTATTACTCAAAAAACTTGTTTTTATGCTACATATCACACCAGTCCCAATGAAATATTACCATAATATCTGAAGAGACGTAATTCTGTAAAATGGTCCTAGAATATTGCCTAAATTCCTTCAGGGTTATATTTCAGGAAACATGGAAACATATTAATTTCTTTCCTTTGAAGTGCTACCTGTTTTAAGCAGACCTACCAAAATAGTAGCCCTTAAGTTATAAAGATTCAAGAAGAAAAACAAAACAAAAAAACACCATTGTAATCAAACAGGATTAAAGCACCATGTAAATTACCCTATTTATAACTTTCTCAAAACCAAACACTGCCTATTCATATACACTTCATCCATTCAATGTATATTGAAACTGATGTTAAGCCAATGGGAACTAATACTTGAAACAAGCCTCAAATGTTAATCCTCAGGTATCCCTTCTCTTATAGTATGCATTTATAGGAATTAAGATTTTCAGATTGCATCAGCGCAGCACTTCCTCTGAAAGGATGGTAGTATAGGAGAGTTCTCTTTTCTTAGCTATTTGAACCTTTGATTGAGCAGCAGGTTTTGCACAAGAGGTGAAAAAGCAACTGAGTTTTGAAAGAAAAATTATCAGTATATACACACAATGACATTGGCTATTTCAAATATGCTTCACTGTACATTTTCTGTATTTGTCTGCTAGTTCTGTGCTGTCAGCTCTACTACTTTTGTTTTCATGGATAGAATCCACACTATCACTCCCTTTGCCACTTGATTTCATCAAAAGGAAGATGAAAGGCATGCCAACACTTTCAGCTAGATGGTGTTGACTGTGAGGGCTATATCCTGCTTTGGGCCTCAGTAGGATAGTCATCCAAAACAGAGATCCTGTCATTTCTCAGTTCAAATATGGTCCAGTCCCTACTTGGACAAATATTCTTTCCTTTGTTATGGTTTAGTCAGAATAAAATAGCAGTTGCACTCATTTTGCACAAGAAAGCAGAAACAAACACACAAACCAAAAAACACCCTCCATATCCTCCACTCCAAGTCACACTTTCAAGTGACTCGACAGAGAAGAAAAAAAGTTTTTATTTCTGTTATAGAAAATCATATTATGTTTTCTTCTGTTCTTGTGATTTATTTTTAAGATTTTATTTGGTACAGAAAGTACAGTCAACAGTGCTTCTTGTACCTGTTATTAACACAAAAATATACATCAGCTTTTAATGTTTTCACCCCAGGAAGCTAAACACTTGACCATTATTATTATTTTTTTTAAACTTGTTATCTCTCTTGAAACAATCCTCTTGCAACAACAATAACTACAACAACAAAATCAATTTGAAAGTATTTTATTGAAGTATAGCAGCAAAAGCCTTCAATGCTTCCTGTCTGTCTTGACTGAAGTGAGCTTCCTGAGGAAAACATAACAGATGATTAGTATGGGTCAAACAAACATCATGATCTGTAAGTTACTATGCTCTCAACTTAAAATCTCCAGATTCAAACTGTCAGATTCAGGTGTGTGTGAAAGGCAGGTTGCATGAAGAAAATCCAAGGAGAGGTGTTATAGTGAAACAAGTAAAATTCAAGGATAATCCTAATTACATAGAAGACAACAGAGGAACAGGTATACCATCATTGTGAATATAGGCTTGCTATATATGGTAGAGTTTTGGCTCTACAACTGCAAATACATGAGAGCTTCAAAGGAGAAAAATCTATTGCACAGTCCAACAGAAACAAATAATTGCACAATCTTCCCATTCACTAGGCAGAACTTGAATTCTGATTTGGATTACAAATATGAAAAAAATTAAAGTAAGCTGAATCTCCATTAGCCTTTCAAACCAGTTCAAACACTGCGTTGGGGGAAGGTTTCCACTGATGGCAAAGATAGTGAGGGATTTACCCAAGCTGATATGATTGTGATCAGATGTGCAGCATGCATTACAGAGGTTTAAACACATCCATGTTTTGCTATCAGTCTCAATGGAGAGGAAGAGTTGGACATTCTTTCCAGCCCTCTAGGAAGAGAGGTGGCCAGCTATGAAAAAAAAAAAAAAAGATGAATAGGATAAGGAATAAAAACAGACTAATGCTACACAGATTATGAGAGACCTTTAAAAAAGAGGAAATATATATTGTGTGTATCCTCACCTCTAAATCTTGTTGTTTAAACAAACAAGCAAACAAAAAAAACAGAGAAAGGACAGAGTAGTACTTACATTAAAAATTTATCTGACCTAGTCAATTGCTTGGATGACATTTGAAAAAAAAAAAAAAAAAAGAGGGGGGGGAGGAAAATCTGCTGAATTTAATTTGGAAATCTAATATATTAAAGTTCCTTAGAAACAAGTTAAAAATTATACCTGACAGGTTTGTCAGAAAGTCACATAAGTGCACGTTGCCAGTTCATTCTGAAAATGTTGCCCCTTTATCAATAAATGGGAGAATATTTTGTTTTCTTTTAATCATGATTATCTAACAAACTGAGGAACTGAAAGAGATATAAAGCTATTTAATTTTCCATAAAATCAAAGTAATAATTAAGGCCATGAAAGCCAAATAAAAAAATCCTCAAAGCATAAAAACTATTATTATTTTTGATGTGCAGACGAAATGGAGCAGAAGACCTAGCACAGGACACAGAAACCTGAGGTGCTCACTGCCTTCTCTGCCTGCTGGCACATCCTCATTTCACATATCCCTGAAGAAAGCTCTGCTTTCAGAGAGACTTGTACCTTTAAAGTTCCCACCCAGCCTAAATTTTTGCATAATTCTCATTACTTCACAGTAATTAATAATTGGTCAGAGATCATTTTGATAATATATGTACAACGTCAACATAATTTTTTCTGAGTTTCAAAAGTATGCTTAGTGCCTGTATGTCATAAAAGAAAGAGATAAGAGGATATCATAAAAAAATTATGCTGGCAATAGCAAGACAAAGCCAGTTGTACCTAATCTCTCAGTGATCACACTGTGATCATGCAATACCTTTCAAATGACTATGCCTTTGTCTTGAATGAAAAATTTATTTCCATCAGGAGATACTCCCAAAAGTTTTCTCCATTTACAGGCTGGGACTTGCCAGCCACTGGAGGCTGTGACTTCCATAAAAATCACAAGTAGGATTCTCCCTAATGCACTTTGGTGACTTGTGCTTATATATCCACTCTTTCTGGGAAGGTGAGGAGGTACGTGGTGCCCATCACCTGTGCTACCACCAGCCCACAGTGCCATTTCTCATGGACGGTGTTGCATGGAGCTTCTTGATCTTCAGAGCTGCTGTCACTTCTTTCTGTGACCAGGGTATAACTGCTACAGCTTAGTCTTTACAGAAACAACCTGGTGTCAGATACATGTATGTCCTCATGTAATGCTAGACTGAAAGAGATACAGTCACTAACCTCTCCTCTGTCAACATCCTCTTGCACTAAGAGGTAGTATCCTCCTTGTCTTCAGATTTGCTACTTGTTCCAGGTAAGGATTCAGACATTTCTCCTACCTTCAGCTCCTGCTGTTCATATCGGAGCTTTCAGGTGTCAGACAGCTTTCAGGAAGCTGCTTTTCCCCACCCAGGGAGCAGCCACACTCAGCGGTATCACACCTGCTGGCACTGCTTCTGCTCCGCGAGTGAGTGACCTGCCCCTGAACTTGCAGCATTGATGGAGCTTTTCTTTAGCTGCTGCTTTCCAGTCCCTTTCTTCCTCTTACAGTAAAATGGGAGGAAGACCAGTTGGCTTCCTAAGGGTGAGACAAAATCAGCACATCAAATTTAGAGGTGCCTCGTGCAGCTGAACTGCTCCATGTGCAGTCAGAGCCTGCCCCACAAGACCCCTCCCAACAGGCTGTACCTGCTGCGGGGAAACTGCGCAAGCATATTGATTCAAAGCAAATGGCATTTAAAAAAAAAAGGAAAAAAAGAAAGAGAAAGTGTCTGTCTTGAAACTACTTGAGCAAAACAGTTTTTTTTCAAAGAAAAAACATTTCTGCTGTTTTGCAGTAGCCCATCAGGCAGAGATTTGGCATTTGTACATTGAAGACCCACAGTACTGGGAGATTTCTGAATCCTGCCTTGGGAAAGCTGGTTTTGAAAAGGCAGGGACAGTTCTTTCCCTGTGCTGTTCTGACCTTTACCCTGCATAATTGCTACCAAAAGGCATCAGTTAGCACCAAATAACGATGAGAGTGTAAGCACTTAATGTAAACACACTCTGTTGCCCAAGGTTTGCGAGTCATTTCCATTAATTTAACAAGATGCTGCTTGGTCAGCTAGTGCTTCAAGTGATGAGCTAGTTCCATCCTGCAGGATACTTTTACCGTTCAGAAAAGAATATGCAGTGTAGTTAACAACCTTGCTGGAGATCTATTATGTTAATTACCATAATCTTCAATACCTATTAGAGATGTTTGCCCCTGCCAGAATGAATAAAGTAATTGATACAAAATGCATAGAGTTGGATCTAGTATACATAAGAAAAAAGTTGTCATTACAAAAAGGATTAGACTTTTCAAGTAAACATATATGACATCATCTGATTGAAAAGATAAAGGGTAAAAACATATTGAATTTTCGGCAACACGTGTCTTAGAAGAATCACGCAGCAATTGTCCTAAATCAGAAAGACCACTACCATGTTTCTTTCCTACACAGCAGGACCGTTTTCAACAAAAGCTATATAAAGTCAGGAAGCCTTTCAGACAACAGCCCTCTCTGAGACAGCAGAGATTCAATTTTTGAGGGATTTCACTGCCTGCTTTTACTATTCCCTCTGCAGATTCAGATCTTCAGTCTGAAACTGTGGCCTGAAAACTAAAAATATCTCAGGCTTAGTGCTTTCTTGTGCCTAGTTGGGGTAGCCAAGAAGTTATCCCTGCAACTGAAAAAGTTCCAGATGGACCCCAATCTCAATCCATTTGTACTTGCTCAAATTCCCCATTAACGGACTGTTTAAGTGAAATATTAGCATTCATGCTTTAGGATCTCACAGCTATTGAGTTTTGTTCTTGTGTCCTACTTAAAATTGAGAGATTTTTTAAGAAAATGATTATTTGTACTTAAATACAGATTTATTTATTTCTATATCAAGATTTTTCCTATAAATGCATTGAAATCCACGTGACTGGATCTCTGTCAGATCTCAGTTTTGTATTAAAACCACTTTTAAAAACTGCTTTCTATCACATTCTATGCATTCTTTTCTTACATAAGCACTGGAGCTTTTGGGGTATCATTTGCTTAAGACAGGAAAGGAGAAAAAATCCTTTCCGCATAACACTCAATTTCAATGTGAAGATTGAAAAAAAAAGAGCCTCTGGTATTATTATAACTGTGTAGAGCTGTGCTCTTTTGATTCACTCGCTACAGTGTTGAATTCATACATTTTCATTGGGGAAAAATGTAGTTGGAAATTTTCACGTTTTTGACCTTTAGTTCATAATAAAGTAAGCCTTTACATCATATATTCTGGAAAATATATGAAGTCCCCAGAAAAAAAAATAAAAACAGTAATAAAAAAGAATGATCAGGAACTATGGAGGGGTGACCTCCACTGAAAACCTGAGATCTGCAATTAGTTCCACCAGTGATAAAATTTGTAAAACACAAAGTTGAGAAAGGGTTCATGTTTTTCTGTACACAAATACTATCTCAAGAGAAAGAGCATAGAGAGAAGGTTAAGTATACAGTTTCCTCAGAATAATTACCAAGTGGGGGAGTAGGTTTCCTTCCAACTCATACATATTTCTTGTTAAACACAGTTGAATATATTTTGATTTCCAAGGAAAAATGTTAAACAGCAATACAAGGATATAAATGTAGTGAGCTTTCATGTAACAAATGCTTGTTTATAAACCAAGACTGCACACTTGTTTCTCCTGACAGCTCAATACCATCAGACATATCTTCTGAAAATTAACACCAAAATATTTCAGCTTGTTATGGTGGTGTTTTGGGGAAGTCACTCTGCTACATCACTGAAAAAAAAAAAAAAAAACAAAAAAAAACACACAAAAACAACTGATATTGATGTTATATTGATTATATTAAAATTACATTGTAAAATGTGTGATCCAGTGTAGAGAAGTGTGTAAGGAGATGCAGTATGCCTGTCTTAAAAGGAATTAGATTTACTTTCCTGTTAGGATATTTAGCAAATAATGAAACTACTTTAAGTACATCTCTCCAATTAAAGTAGAGTTCCTACAGTCTGGTCCTAAAGAACAACTGCACAAAATTTCATCAGTACTCTGCAGTATTTTTCATTGGACAACATAGCCAGTAAGGGACTTCATGAAACAGTGACAACCTTAGAAGGGGAAGATGAGCAGAATTTGGTTCTGAAGTCACTATGAGCCAAATTAGATTTTTAACCAAGTTTGATTGTTCTGGAAAATATTTGTAAGTCCAACTTTAGAGTTCCTGAGGACATCTACAAAATTATGATTTTATATATACACACACGTGTGTGTGTGCGTGTAGTTGACACATATATATATGAGTGAATTTTAAGAAGTTAATAACTTTTTAAATGATTGAAAACTGCTTCAATGCTGCCAAAAATGATCTGTCTTTGTGTGGCTTCTTTTTGTGAAATATCATGCGATCTTCATGTATTCACTCAGTTTATTTTCAAGAGTCTATCAATTAACAAGAGTTATCTATTGATAGTAGTGGAAACTCTTGTGTAGCAAGATACTACTGACTCGTAATCTTGACCCCATGGTAACTACCATGATTTAGCCATTTTCTAATCTTGTGCTCATTTTATGATTTGAAAATCAATAATAAAACTGTAAATATAAGCATGACTCATTTTATAGGCATATTCTCCAAAAGATGCTTACACAGTGTTTTTAAATGCTTGCTATTTTATACTTCTATTTCCTGCAGATATTTAGAGAAATAATTAAAACTGGAAGATGCAAAGCTGCTACTTTTATTAATAATGCAAGAAATTGTGACATCCAACAATTTATACAGTTATTTAAAGCATCCAAATGCTCCCAAAATACTCTGTAAGGTTAATCTGAATATTATTT